TTAATTTAAATTGAATTTTATTTTTTACTATAACTTAATAATAGTTAATTATTGATTACAACTTCTGGACCAACAAAGCAGAGGCACCGCCACCTCCGTTGCAAATGGCAGCCAATCCATACTCATTGGGCTTTAGGTGTAGCGCCAAATGATTGACAATACGAGCGCCCGAACAGCTGTTATTAGTTATATTAATAAATTAAGATATAAATTACAAGTTTTAAACTAATTTATAAGCAATATAATTTGTGCATAAGAAATATGTTGCTCATAATAAATGAGGTAAAAATAAAGTCGCATACCCTACGGGATGACCGAGAGAGACGGCCCCGCCATTCGGGTTCACGAGTTCGGTGGCTAAGCCTAAGTGTTTAATACTGATTAAGGGCACTGTACTAAACGCCTCGTTAATTTCCCAGTGGGCGATGTCACTTATTTGCAGGCCAGCCTTTTCCAACACCTGTCCCCCACAAACACAATGTATTAACGTTATGTTATTTTTAAAACTAACTTTTAAAATTAGCTTCAATCAATGTAGTTTAATGTAAAGTACAATACAGTATAGTAATGTCATAGTGAGATACCTTCACGTGTATTATGATACCTACTATGTTACTGTACTCTTATCTAGTTGAAATACACACCTTAGGTATGACATATATGGGCGCTACGGTAAATAAGGCCGGCTCTACGCCCACATCGGCGTAAGCGATCACTTTGGCCAACGGCCGGACGCCGAGCCTATGAACGGCCGACGCAGACATAAGCACTGCGGCGGCGGCGCCATCGCTGATGGGACTGGCGTTAGCGGCCGTAACAGTGCCGGTGCCGTCCCTCACAAACACCGGCGCCAACGCAGGCACGCGCTCGAAGTCAACTCTGCGGTACTCTTCGTCGTCGGCCACCGTTACGTCCGGTCGTCCGCGTTGTCCGCTCACAATCACCGGCACTATCTCTTTGAGCGACAGGCCGTCCGCCGCGGCTCTGGCGCTGCGCCGATAACTGTTGACCGCGTATTCGTCCTGAGCTGAGCGAGTGATGCCCTGTTTGGCGGCCTCCGTGTCGGCCAAATAGCCCACGTGTTGCCCACTGAACGGGTCGGTGAGCCCCTCGAGTACGCCGTCGTTGAGCGACGCGGCCCCGTATGGCAACTCTCCTCGCGCCAGATTGTACGGCGCGTTGGACATGGACTCCATACCGCCGGCCACCATAACCTCTGTGTCGCCGCGACCTATCGACTGAGCGGCCATCATGATCGCTTTCATGCCCGACGCGCAACCCTTGTTCACTGTACTGCACACCACACTTGCCGGCAGACCGGCACCGGCCGCGGCTCTGTCAGCGGCCGCGTGAACCACTCCAGCCGACAATCCGTGGCCCATAATTACTTCGTCCACGACGTCCGGCGCGATGCCGGCCCTCTCGATGGCTCCCTTAATGGCCACTGAACCCAATGCCGGCGCAATCACTGTCGATAATGAACCCCTGAACGAGCCGATCGGTGTCCGCGCGACTGATACTATGTATACACTCTGAGAGAGTGAGTGAGAGAGAGTGAGAGAGAGAGAGAGAGAGAGAGAGAG